GAGCCCGATGCGGGACTCGATCCCAGGACCCTGGGATCATGACCTGAGCCGAAGGCAGTCGCTCAACCGACTGAGCCACCCAGGCGCCCTTCATATGCTTATTTTTAACCAGGAGAACATATTACCCATTTGTTTAAAGTACATTCAGTAGCCTGGGGGATAAAGCCTGCTGGAGGCAACGGGACCTCACTGAGAGCTCCCGGCAGGCAGGCAAGCGGCCCCACCTCTGGGGACAGCATCCGCATGGACACAAGTCCTAGGCTGTAAAGTCAACACAGAACCCCGAAGCTTCTGACGTGAATTTTAGCAACAAGACACCACTGGTTTTCAGCCTGTGACACAGGCCAAAACAGGACTACAACTATGCCCCGGCATCCTTGGTCTCAGGCCACCAAGTCTGATGGCAGCTTGGTCACTCAATACCCCTGAATATCATGGGAGAGGAGTGGGGTGTTTCCAAGGCACAAACTAACAGCCCAAATCCTGCCTGTCATGGAGCCATTTAAAGGCCAAGTTTTAACAGAGGACAACTGCCCAAGAAGGGGGGAAAACAAGCCACCAAGCACACAGCGGGCCACCACAGCTTCCCGGGGGCACAAAGCCGGGGCCCAAGGGCCTGTATGACCGCAGAGGGAACCCCTGCACCGGAGCGGCTGGGCCCCTGACAAGGATCTGATGACACTACTGAGGGGCTACAGTACCATGCTGCTCATGGTGGCTACGCCACAGGAGGGTCCTCCTGTCCTAGAAAGACAGGCTGAACAAGTTAGGGATGCTTCCCCGTGACTAGCAGGGCGGGAGAGTGGGGCTTGCGGGGAACATTCTTCAGACAAGTGGGGCAGCGGGCATCAAGAGTAATCGAACACACTGTCGTGAACGCACGTCAAAGATCAGCCCCGACTCCTTAAACACCCAGGATCCATGGTGTCTGTTCATCTCCTCTGGTTACGACGTTGCCTTGCCAGGAGGCAGCCATGCTACCGCTCAGTTCTCTAGGAGAGCGAGCCCGCAAGAGCGAGACAGGAAGGCCACGCGGAGACTCTCCCCCGCCTGTGGTCTGCACGACCATCAGCACCAGCACGCCGGCTGCGGCAGTGAGCTCAGGCTCCAGCTTTCACGGGCCCTGCTCTACGCACCGGCTGGGGCTGCCCAGCACAGCCCCCGGGACCCCCTGCCATTTCCCGGGGATGAACATCACGGCACCTGCCTCCTGTGGCATCTTCTCAGCACGGCCCCTGGGCCCCGGGGAGGACAGTGTCCCACGAGGGAGGGAGCTGATCGCTGGAACGGAGTTGCAATGGCCCACGACTTGGGGGGCAGGGGTGCCGGGTGGGCAGCACCCAGCTCTATCCCCACCTGGTCAGAGCACCCCAACAATGCCCAGGACCACACCACACAGACACTGCAGCTTTTGGGGGCACTAACTCCAGCACATTCAAAGTTCAGGTAGGCCTTTACGACCTACCGGTCCGCACCACACCTGACTTTAAGAAGCAGAAACAATCGACAGAGACACGTCAAGAAAGAGCACAGCGGCTGCTTCCTACTGCACGGGGTGCGGCTGATCCACAACACGGTCTTCATGAAGACCACACAGTGCCCACCTCCCAGGGCCCTCGCGCTCTGTGCTCTTCCTGGAGGGCAGGCCCGTCCCCAATAAAAATGCCTCACCAGTCACGCCTTTGACTTGGTCAGCAACAAACACTGGGCTCAGGAAGCAGGAGCCAAATGTAGTTTCTGATGCTCAGTTTTAGAAGTACACACAACGGACACCTGTGTGAAACTACTATTCTTCCGAAAGCCATGTGCTCAGCCTCACACATGCGGAGTGTGCCTGCCCCGCAGCCTCCCCTCTATCCACCAAGTCACAATAAGGCACTGTTACAAATCACAGATCAGAAGATTGGATTAGGAATGAATGGAATTCCACCTTACCTAAAAATGCATGAATAACAGACAAAAATTACACCTAAATGGGGAAAAAATTGAAAGGAAGTGTCAGCATAAAAGAAAACAAAATGCACAAAATTATACAGGCGGAAACAGCCACTTTCTCATGACAAAAAGGGCCACAAATTCTTGAGCTTGAGATGAGCAACCCCAACCCACCACATCTGTACGTTTGATACCAAAAAATCCCTTCTCCCTCGTTTGCCTCCTTGTGTGCAGACTCTGACATGACCAATCCCTCCGAAGGATAAGACTCGGGCCCTTCTGGTTGCGCAGGGCTGGCAGTCCTCGCGCCTCCCACCAGTGGCCCATCTATCATCCCCCACCTTCCCCCAACCAACAGCACACACAGACCCAGGGAGCGCCAGTCCTGACAACCCTCTAGGGTGCCGGACGACTTGTGAGAGAACGCGCTTCCAGAAAACAGACGTGTCAGGAAAACAGAAAAGGACAAACAACAGAAGGCAGCAACAAGCGACGGAGTAACGGAGCTCCCACTGCAAACCATCCTCAGCCTGCTCTAGAATCCAAACCGTGAGTATGCCTGTCAGCAGCCCCCAACTGCCCAGCGTGAGCCCCCTGAGCCAGGGCCCCCGTGTCACGGAGCCAAGCACAGGGATGCCTGCGCTACAGGCCCCCCGTGCTGGACAGGCCGACTGCGCAGAGGTAAGCATTTCTGTGAGCTTAGTCCCAAGTAGTATTTATATGGTACATTTTAAGTTTGAAACCCACCTCCCATCCTTCTCTAGAAGGAGCTGAACTTATATAAAGCATGCATTTACAGAAACATTTGGCGTTAAAAAAAAAAAAAACCAGAGCTGGGTTATTACACTCACATTTAGTGCACATTCCACTTAGGGTAAAAACGGACGGCGGACAAACATTGTCTCGTTAAACTGAGATCCAGGTTACAAACGGCAGGGAAGGTTAGTGCTCTGACAGCCCATGATGACGCAGTGAGCTACAGACTTCATGCTCGCTAACAAGAGGATGGCCTACTACAGCCTGAGGACTGCATTAAAGCAGCTCTGGATTTAAGGGATGTGTCAAGTGACAAAGTGCCTTCATTTAAGCTGATCTGCCATCAGTAAACATTCAGACCTTCAGGTAAAATTACTGGGGTTGCCCGTTCTCCTCAGTTTTTGTTTTTGTTTTCTTAAAGCTTCCTAATTTACTTTCAATGATTGGAGATACTTAGACATAGCTTCTGAATATTCTCAGCCCAAAGGCAATTGTAAAACTATGTCTATAGTTTTATTACTCTATTCATTAAAAAAATAACCCCCCAAATTTACTTCTTTATACCTTTTCCAAAAATAAACATAAGAAACAGCTTATTCGTGTCGTCATTCAACCATTCCCCTGAAGGGACTAAAGGTCTGGAAAAGAAAGCTGCTCTCCTGAACGAGCTTATGGAAAGAGAGCACTTACGAGCAAGCTGGGAAAGCCTTCACTGGCCACACACTGAGCACTAAATCCTACAGGAAGGGTCGCTCAAGCCTGCCCCCGGTCTGTTTCCGTGTTTGGACTAGAGCAGGGCTGGCGTGGCCAGGCGGGGACGCAGCAGCCGGCATTCACGGGGGCGGCGGCCCCCCAACGACTGACCTTGGGGTTAATATCGGCATCGTCCTCATCTTCTCCCTCCTCGTCACCTTCCAACTCCTGCGTAAAAGGGTGAGAGCGAGTTGAACACACAGGATTTAAACTCCTGTGGAGCCACCCGCTCCACACAAACAAAGCCACCCTCGGCTTTAGCGGGAAACCAACGATCACTGTCCGTAAGTGATTAAGTCACTCCTTCTAGGCACACTGACTTGTGGGCACCTTTTTGTTCAGTGACAACGGACATAAACACAATGCTGAAAACGCGATTTGTTTGTTCAACCAACATTTCCTAAGCCACGTTTTCATAAGCCAATCGCGGGGTCAACAACGGGACACAGGGACAGCACCTGCTGTACCCTGCCCCCCTCCCCAGCTTCAACAGGGTGGAGGCCCTGAGGCAGCTCCACACAAACCGGGTACGACTGGTGGTCTGTCCGCCCTAGCAGAGGAAGCCTAGCGAGGCCTCAGGGAAAGGACTCTCCAAGTTCGCCATGTCTTACCTCCTCTTCTCCTTCCTCACCCTCTTCAAACTGAAAAAGGAAAAAGGAAACAAGATTTAGGTCTCGAAAGCAGGAGGGCAGCCTGACCCAGGCACGGTCCCCGTCAAGCACCCCACACCGGTCAGGCCTAGGGAATGCGGAAGTGCAGCCTGGCCTCCGGGCAGAGGCCCATCTGGGGGCGGGGGGCCACGGTCGGCCACCAGGCTCCTCGGCCCCGACACCGTGGGCCAGGCTGGGGCCAGCGGGGCAGGGCCGCCTGTTCACGAGCCCCGCTGTGTTGATAGGATGCCGGGTACCTGCAAACCACACAAAACAAGGCCTGAGGATGGGGAAGGGTGCAGAAAGGAGATGGGCAGCATGAGAACGTACTGGGATCACCTAGGAAACTGGCTGATGTAAGTAATCCAGGAGCATGATTTTACTATGCAGATACATGAATTTCAATGGTATTTTTTAACTCATACAAGGGTAAATATTTACACATTCGAAATGTGATAAAACCTTGGTGTTTAAGTGTATAGAAAAAGAGCCCAACACCATAGTCGGTTGGTCTTGAATGAATTTCTTCAAGGTCCAAAGACATCACAGGTCAGACTCTCACTCAAACTCCACATATCAGACTCAGATCAAGACCAAACACAAAACAAAACAAAACAAAACAAACCTTATCACTATCACCTGCATGACACAAGAGACCTAAAGATTTACTAGGTTTTTCTTAAGAACATTTCTTTTGTTGGAGCCCACACATATATTCCTTAGTGACAGCTCACACAAAACTTGTAAGGGCCTGGGGGCTGGTGGGGCCCAGTTCAGACACCGGGCCCAGCATGCGCGCCCTCTTGCACCAGCTGGGCCATCAGGGGTGCAAGCATGCCCCTGTGCCCTTTCCAGCCTCTGACAGGGAAAGACCTAGGCAAACCGTGTCTTGTAGCCAATCACATTTTAGCTCAGACTGAACTAGCCTCAAACAGGCTCAAGCGTGGATTTTCTGAGGTTCTCAGATCATTTCACTCTGGACCTGGAGGGTCCTGTGGCAAACACATCTCACACTGATGGAGAGCAGGGGTCGCTAAGTCGGGGTACAGAGCCCGTGGGACACGCAAGCCGAGCTGGGAGAACATGGAAGACAGAATCAGCACTCCCGGCTCCATTTCCTTCTGCAACACCGTGTAGCGCTTGTGCAGGTTTCCAACGCATCAGGCCCCTGCAAATTTACCTCTCTCCCAACGCGCACCAAGTAATGGTGCCAACAGGTGTTCTTCGAAGAGCCCGACAAGCCATGAGAGTCACTACGGCCGTGAGTGGTGAAGTCAGGACCCTGGTCTCAGCAGGCCTAAGTGGGGTGCCCCTTCCTAACCCCTCAACGACACCGCTGGGCAGCAGCACCTGCATCGGAGGTGTTGGGCGCAGACATATATACGCAGAGGACGCGCAGAGGACACGCAGAGCACTGCACCGCTCCCAGTACTATCCACTCTGCCTGTATTTTAAGTAAGTAAATATATATAAACTGGACAATCACGTTTTAAAACCGATGGGCATATGATCAAAACAGTGTGGAGACCGCTGGTCCAGACATGCACTTTCCAGTGTGTGTAGTCACTAGATTTTGGGGGCTACATTAAATAAAACGGAAACACGCAGTTCCTCAGCTGTCAACAGATTCCTTCTACATCTTCGAACCTCACGTGGGGCCAGTCCCACCACGCTGGACAGAGCAGGCAGGCCGAAGACAGCCCTACCATCACAGACCATGCTGGTATACAGTTTGCCGTGTCAACTTCAGCCTCAGTACTCACCTGAGTGCTTGGACGAGCCAACGCTACGCTGACTTGTGTGCCTGCACGTTCTCCTGCCCACAACCACCTCCCGGCCCAGGGACAGACGAACGGCCTTTCCGAAGCGAACGAGTCTCAGACTACACAGCTCACACACACTGGACGGGACGTGCCCCCTGGCTGGGACCATCAGCACAGAAAACGTGAGAAGCAGGCATTCACTGCTCTGGCCACTGAGCAGCTCAAACCTGCCCGGCTCCTGCTGCCCGTCTGAAACCTCGACAGACCGCTTAGAAAGGAAACCTAGAGCCATCCAGGAAACCTAAGAGCTCTAAAAGCAAGGGAATAAGTATCTGAAACATACTACTAACTGCACGCTATAAAACGAAACTTGATCCCCACAAATCAAGAAGACACAGTGAGCCAAGCCTGGGTTATGATGGAGAACTACCTCAGGTGACTGTCAAAGGACAGCTAGCGAGGTTGCGCTCAAGCAGGGAGGGAGGCGGGGGAGAGAGAGAAAGGGGCCTGCACAGCCTGGCCACCCCTCTGTGCACCACGGGGATCAAGCCTTTGGCGCCGGCACACCACGGGCTAGCGAGAGTCAGCTCTGTAGATAACCTTTTGCTGTGGTCAGACCTCTGAAAAGGAGATTTTTTTCCTCATGTTTCCAAGTCACCCAAAGCTTGCACACCTTAAGCAGGACAGGGTGAGCACCTGGGGCCTTTCAAGGATGCTGTCTGTCCCTGGACGGGGCTGGCATTCTGCTCTAAGAGCACCCAGAGCCCTGCTCGGCCCCGACCCCCCGACACCAAGGGTCCCCCAGGCTGCTGCTCAGGGCGCCCCATACTGCCAAAGGCAGGCCCCCAAGGGCTCCCGCCCACATACGTTGTCGTCATCCTCTATGGCCTCCCCTGTGAAGTAGAGCACGGCCCGCGGGACTATCCGCTCACGAAAGAAGTGTCCAATTTCAAAGTCAGAGGCTAATGTGAATTCCGAGTCTTCGTCCTGAGAAGGGAAAACCTCAACGTTAACTCGTGGATATGGGCGAGCACCATGCCCCCCCCCCACACCGCGCTCCTCGCTCTGGGGGACCCAGCACTGCTGGGGATGGCGGGGTGCACTGGGCCCACGCACTCTGGCCCCGCCCCGCGGTGTCGTGAACACAGTGCACCCCAGGCCTCAGGGAGGACGAAGGAGGGACTGAGAAGAAGGTAGGCCACTACTCTGAAGATAAAGAATGTGACAGCACAAGAGATCGGATGACAACACAAAGCTTACCAGTGATTCTCCATCCCCAGACGCTAGGGAAAAAAAGACAAAACATATGCATGTTACACTGACAACCAAAACCTTTGCAAGCGCACGCGGGCAGCTCCGAGGACAGGGAAGGTGGCCCAGGGCGCATCTGGAGCCCCGCGCCTCCCGCGGTGCCGACCGCCCGCCCCCGCCCGACCTGCTTGGGAACGCCAACTGGGGAAAAGCTCTTCCTAATTCAGTGTCAACACGTGGAAAGGCCCATCAAGGGGCCCCAGACTGTGGGCACTCGGTGCACTCACGCCTTCAGGAGCGAGTACCAGAGCCTGCAGCCCTGCACGATTCCGCAGGGAAAGGAAAATCCTTGGGCCTGGTGTCTGAAGCACTGCACCTCAGCGGGCCAACACCGGTGGGTCCCCGTGGCGAGGACACAGCGCTGAAGCGTCTGTCCCACAGATGGAAAGACTCCCCGTGGGCAGGAGGGTGCCGCTGGTCGCTGCCCACCACAGAGCACCGCACGGCTCGCCGAGGGGCAGCTCCACACACACGTGTGCACACGGGACACACACACACACGCGCGCGCCCATGGTTACCAAGACTGCTGCTGCACTGGAGCCTGACCCAGAACCAAGGGTGACAGGAAAGACAGGGACTTAAAACCACTCAACAAAGCCCAGTGACACTCAAATGATCATGTGACTCAAACCCCGGACTTCAGAGATGCTTGTCCAAGGCCCGGTCTTGCCAGGAGCTGGAAGCTTATGGCGCTGGCCTCATCCTGCCTCTCGGGGCCTCTCCCAGCTTGCAGTTCCCCATGGGCTGGGCACCCACGTGTCAACACCACCCCTATGGCACTGTCCCCGAGTCTTGGCACGTGAGCACCCCCCACGGGCTAAGATTTGGGTCCGGGGACTCTGGCCAGGGACTTTGCTCATGTGACTTTGGGACGTTTTGTAGATTGAAGGACAAGGAGGGCACCGGACCAGCCAGCTTATGTTTCCTTCATTTCAAAACATGTTACCTCAATTCTGACATTTTTTCCTTGCCTGCCCCATCACCGCCCCACGGTCACTTTCTATTTGTTTACAGAGCTCATCAATTGATATTATGTGTGATTACTTTAAAAAGACCTATGTTTACGTGAAATTCATCTACCAGAGAACTGAAGTGTATAATTCAATGACCTCTGGGACATTTTTAGAGTGGGACAACCATCACAGCACAGTTTTAAAACCCCAAATGTCACCCCCCAAATTCTGAGTCCACTTAATTTCACTTTGATTTTATTGAATGACTTGAAATCCAATCTTAAGAAACCTTCCAACAGAGCCACTGCATTTAGGAACCAAAGGCCCTCTGCTTCACAGTGAATTCATGCAAGTGACCACCAAAGGGAATTCTCTAAAACAAGGAAACTTAACAACTACATTATGGCTATTGTTACCCCAGACCAATACACATTTGCATCCTCTAGGCTCAAAGACAAATCCCAGAAAGATACGGGGCTGAAGGGCAGAGCTTGCGAAGCGAGGGCCCTCGGCTCAGAGACAAAGTCCTGGTCCAAGGCTCACACTTGAGAGTGGAGCCACCCTGTGGCCGAGGGCGAACAGCTCACACACCCACCAATTACCTGTGGCAGGGACGGGCAGTTCTAAATTTCAATCTGTGTTCATGGAAAATAGAGAGAAAATGTTTTATCCTCACTATCCTAACACTGCCAACCGGCCTGGCCTCTGCATTCTCTCCGGTTTAGAAAATTTTAAGACTTGCCAGTATTTGGGACACCTGGGTTGCTCAGTCGGTTAAGCGTCTGCCTTCAGCTCAGGTCATGACCCCAGGGTCCTGGGATCGAGCCCCACATTGGGCTCCCTGCTTGGCGGGGAGCCTGCTTCTCCCTCTGCCTCTACCTCTCCCCCCTTCTCGTTCTCTCTCTCTCTAATAAATATCTTTAATAAAAAAAAAAAAAGACTTGCCAGTATTTATTCTCAAAACCTGTTGCTCACCCTCCACGAGGTCAAACTTTCCGTCTTTATTTTATGATTTGGGGGGGGGGGAACCGAAGTTTCCAAGCTAAGTCTTTCAAAACTGGAAATCCAATTACTTGTGTTGTCACACTATATCAACTCCCAAGCCCCTTGAGTTCTACCTAGTCAGGGAGAAAAACAAAACAAAGCTGAATTTATGAGAAAGAGAGGGTGGGGGATGCTCCCTAAGCTGCGCAGGTGTAACAGGAGTATGACCAGCCACAGAGGGGGCCTGCAGCAGGACGGGCGGCCCCAGGGACGCTAGCAGGCCCCAGCGGTGAGGCACGGAAGCGCCGGCTGGGGGCGCTCCTGGCATCACTCCAGCTTTCTCAGCATGGAGCTCAGAGAGCCCGCCAAGCCTTCCCCCCTGCTACAAACAAGGAGGACCCACCACCCCTACCACCCCCGCACCCCGTGAGCACCAGCACCACGGCTCCTGGCACAGCAACCGTGTCCTTACTGGCCACTCTCGCCGGAGGACCCAGACCGGACTCAGGGTAACGAAGCTACTTCGCGTAGTACATAATCAACGTCCACACCACAACCCTCTTACCTTTCAGCGGGCTGAAGAAGTTGAAAAACGAGTCGTTCGGAACTTGTTTGGTAATTGTTCTCACTGTGCCTCGGCCCTTATGTTTCTGCTTCTTCTTGATTGTTTTGACTGTAACGTTTTTCCCTTTCTTCCAGTCGATAGCACACCTACAGGGACAGACGGCCATCACGCACACAGACATATGCCCTGAGAAACACCACGAACGTCCATGGTAAACAAGGCACAGCCAGAGGCTGAACTTGGACAACATAGGCAAACCAGGCTGCCAACCGACACTGCACACCTATGAAGTCCATGTGACGGCCGGCGAAAGGGAACAGGCCAAGTGGCCCGGGCTGCCACGGCATCACCTGAAGCCAGGGTCTTCTCCCCTGAGGAACACCCCCCCCCCACCGCCGCCAGTATGTTTGCTGTGACCAAGCCCAGTCAAGGCTGGGCTACGGTGCCCAGAGAGTGCTCAAGAGCTTGTCACCTGCTGCCTTTGTCCAGACCCCAGAGCACACCTGAAGTCACCCACTCACGCACCCAAATTCTCAATGCAGCTAAGCGAGCAGGACAAGTTGAAGAGGCAGCAGGGGACCGCTGCATGAAGTACTGATGGGGGCGGGGCGCACTGGGTCTGGGCTGCCGAGTGGGCCTGGCTTGGGGGCGAACCCCGCGTGCTTGCTCATCTTTCAATCGCTGCGGACCCACACGGAACCCCTGGCAGCATGTGACTAGCGTCTGCTCGGGAACATGCCTGGAAAGGCCGGCCCACTTCCCACACGACAGCCTGGCCCTGGGAAATGCGCTCTCAGAGTCACTCTCGCCATTCAAGTCTAGCAGGGTTTTAATAAAGCTCTGAATTGCTCATATGCGAGATTCAGAAGTACTTGGTTCCAGTGAGTAAGGGTAATTGTGCCAATTCAAAAACAATTTCCCAAACCAAAAAAACCACAATTTCCCAAACCATCTCAAACAAACCAAGAGGAAAGAACTCCAAACCACATTCTCTCCCCAGTGATCTCACTTGAAATCACCAAGGTGCTCCATCATGAGTCCAACAATTAAACTGCCCCCAATTTCCGAAGCAAGCAACTGACCAGTACTGCCCTGCCCTGATTCATCCGTTCACTCAGCAAATATTTGCGGAGGGTCGTTTATCAGCTCAGCAAGGACAGCATCATGCAAGGGACCTAGAGAACCGAATCCCTCCATCTGATGAGGAGACTGGGCCACCAGCCCCCTTTTGGCACAAGTGACCTCATGACACATTTCCCAGGGCAGGCCATCACAAACCCCCACAGAAAGACTATTTAATGTAAATCTTGGTCTACTGGGATTTTAAAAAATTAAAGACATTTTGTTTTATTCCTGATTTCTCTTACTCATTAAATTCTAAAATCATCCGTTTCTCTTTCAGAAAAAGAAGGTGAAATGGCGAGTCCTTACCCGTCACAGTCAACTATTTCAGGACCTTCGAAGGAAAAGGGATCAGCCTTATCAGGCTCTGACTTCATCTTGTATGTTTTTGTCAGGACTGAATTGGTAAAGTAGTCGTTGGGTTCAAAGTGGAACTCTAATACAAAAGACTGAAAACAAAAACTCAGGTAAGTGCCACTTAAAAATCTACAAGCAACCAGTGACAGACTTCACAAACCCCACAGTCCGTACTGGAGACCAGCGCCTCTCTGAGCGGGACGCCACAGACAGAAACCGCTACGGAAAAGTTCAACAGGTATGGCCACATGTCAAGAAGAACTTGATTACAAAAAACAGCAGCACCCAGTTCAAACACAAACGACAAGTGGGGGAATACCTGTGGCGCTTCAGCCCTAGCGGAGAGCGCGGGACCCTCTGAGCCCCTTCCCAGTAGAGGTCCAAGCTCTCCTGAGAAACCCTAGCTTCTCTCTGCCGCCCCGGGCTCACCCTGATGGAGCTGGAGGGTCTGGACTAGGGGACACCAGGCAGCGGGCTCCAGCCCGCCCTCCTTCTCCACTTGCGTTCAGGCAGAGCGCCGCCTTCTCTGCTACACAAAGGGGCCAGACTCTGTGAGGGTGGGGAGCACTGCCTGGGCCTCCGCAAACCACACCAAGGAAGGACAAGTTCATCCTTTGTTCACAAAGCACTGTGTAGTCTCAAGAGACAAGCTTAAGAGGAAAAATGGACGCAGGGTGTGTACAAAGCAGCAGACACAAATAAAGTCAAGTGGCAGTAGGAAGGAGTCTTGCTTTCTTCTTACCTATGTATGAATAATATGTAGAACTGGCAAGTGCTCTGGGAAATCACGTCCACTCATATACTGTAAATAGCTTTATAAAGGACCATCTGGCAAGATCAAGAAATTGAAGTAAAATAAAATTCTCTGACCTGGTAACTCTACTCTGAGGAATTCATTGTTTGGGAAAAGACACCTGGGTGATGCATCATCAGTATGTGCGAAGATGCTCACCTCAGCCCTATTTTAAGGTAAAAAAGAGGACGTTGAGGGACGCCTGGGTGGCTCAGTTGGTTAAGTGTCTGCCTTCGGCTCAGGTCATGATCCCAGGGTCCTGGGATCGAGTCCCGCATCGGGCTCCCTGCTCCGCGGGGAGCCTGCTTCTCCCTCTGCCTCTGTCTCTCTCTCTGTCTCTCATGAATAAATAAATAAAATCTTTAAAAAAAAAAAAAAAAAAGAGAACGTTGGTTGAGTAAGTTATAGAGATACTTTATAAGACTAACTCTGGGTTCACATCACTTCTGCCTACAGGTGCTGCGTGATCTTGTCAAATCACTCTGTCTCTGCTGTTGTTTCCTCATCTATAAAGTGGAAAGCACAATCCTCTCTCTCTCCCTGAGCTGACTAGAGGATTGACCTACGGAAGCACTTAGTACAGGGTTTATACAGGCTTACAGGCAATGCCTGCCAAATGTTAGCTATTTCAATTTTCATTATAATGTATAAGGATACAATTATCAACTGGGAAAAAGTAGATTAAAAAGACTAAAACCAAACTCCTTCCACTAAGGGGAAGTGGAAACCGGACCCTGCAGAGCTTGAGTCCCCTGCAAGCTCAGCAACAGGACCCTATGCAACCCCCTCTCCGCTCCTTGCCCAACCCCCAGGGCTACACCCACCCACCGTGAAGACAGAGGAAGACAGACGCAAGTGTTCAGTCAGTGAAGAGGCTGCTATGATCCCAGAACCGCTGCAGGCTGTGACCGCAGGCGTGGACAGGCACCCTGGGGGCCAGGGAGGGCTCACAAGCATCACCGGGGGCCCTGCCTCACTCTGTACGCTGGTACGCATCACACTGCTCCTCTTCTTTATCTCCCACCTCCCGCCCTACCAGCTCTCCAGACCAAGTGTGAGATCTCCCTTCTTCATGTTTTCCTGTCCTTTCCTTCCCCATGGCCTCTGTTTAGTCTTCTGTAACACACGACTGGGGATGAATCAAGAAAGGGTTCAAGGGGCGACTCGATGGCTCAGTCGTTAAGCGTCTGCCTTGGGTCATGATCCCGGGGTCCTGGGATCCAGTCCTGCATCGGGCTCCCTGCTCCGGGGAGAGCCTGTTTCTCTCTCTGCCCCACCCCCCGGCTCCTGCTCACTCTCTGTAATAAAATCTTTATAAAAGAGAGAGAGAGAGAGAGAGACAAGGAGGGTTCAAGTCCAACAGAAAAGGGCCCACAGATGCGGTCGCCTCCATCACACACAACCCCCTACAGCCAGTCAGCCGTAAGCACGCAGCGGAGCCCGCACGGGGGTGTGAGCAGACGCCGCTCCCGCCCAGTGCGGTTCACATGCTGCCGCCGCCGGCTGCGCCCACCCCGCCCCGCCCCGGGAGCTCCAGCCTGGGCCGACGGCGCACGGGGGGGACTCTGCGCTGTTGCTCAAGTTCTGCACTAAGCCTGAAATTATTTCAAAACAGAGACAAAACCACGATGATTTACAAAAAAGAAAGTGTAAAAAAAAATATGTAAGTGAACCACATTTGAACCTTATAAATGTTCACCTCCTTTCACCCAGTAAAACTGCACTACAAGGAATCAAAACTGAGGAAATTGGCCAAGACTTAAAGATTTGGGTTCAAGTATGCTCTCATAATGCAACAATTTAGAATGGGGCGGAGGTGGCCGCGGCACGTGTGGGCACCGTTAAATAAATCACTTTACAGCCCACAGACGCAAGGACAACTATTTCCCAGCCGCAGAGCCGGTACAACATTGTCTGCACCTGTAACCCCACTCTGCGGCAGGGTGAGCGAGGGACCCTGGAGAGGAGCAGAGGTGTGGTCACAGGAGAAACAAACACACTGGCCCTGCTTCATTCTGAGGCTACACATGGTTTGTATTTCTGATTTTAGTGTCTAAAATACTTCATAATGACTTTAAAAAGACAAAGACTATGGGGAACCTGACTCCAAAGCTGAGAGATCTGTAGGCTGTTCCTAACACCTTCCTGTATTTTCCCAGCGTTCCACAGCCGGCGTGCATGACTTTTCTAACAGGGGAAGTGACGAGGGGGAGAAGGACGACTGGCTCATGCTCTACCAGAACTAGGGCTCTTGTCTGTCTATAAACCACTGTGGAAAACGTCAGACAGGCTGAGAAAGGAAACAGACCCAGAAAATCACCAAACAAGTGTCTCATAAGAGCAAACGATGAAAAAAAGAATTGATCCAGGAGGAAAAATTAATAAATGGAGTCTGGATGAATCACAGGTGAGAAAGAAGTGTTAGGAAAAAACTGACACAGAAACTTACAACAGCACGCACCTCCCCCCACACTCCCTCCCCCTGCCACGCAAGCAAACACCCTCAGACTGCCCCACTCGGCCTCCAGGGGGCGCCAGGGCCCAGCCTCCGCACAGGCCAAGGAAAAGGCCCTGCAATAACCCAATTAACCCGGTGCAGTAGGCAAAGGGATTCCCCTCAGCCTGTGAGCAGGCATCACGCCAGCTCGTGCCCAGGCCCCCGCCTGCAGAGGGAGAACTGAATGTCACCTCCCAGAGTGAGCTAGGCAGGAAAAGTGGAAGGGACAGATCCAGCGTGTCCCCCTGCCCCTTGCCTCCCAGAAGGCACCTGCAGGACCAGGGAGGGAGATCCCACGTATGCTAGCCCTCATCCATAACCTGGGGCCAGTGCTCTGCGATGGGGAGGGAGGAAGAGCCGGACCCCAGGTCCCAGGCCGTGTCCCCAGGACCTGAAACTGAGAGCCACAAGTCAGTCAGTCATGAGTCGCTGGAGCTGCTATTGCACTGGAATGGAGCCTGTCAGCCACTGCCAGGCTAAGAGGCCACGAACAGTGCCTCTCTGAGGACGCAGCTCCCACAGGGTGGTGGGCCCCGCTCTGCAGAGGAAGGAAGGGCTGGCTTGAGTCAGGCCCCTCTCGCAGCGCAGCAAGCTGCTGGGCAGTGGTGTTGTACGACAGTGCGGGGACACGCTGTTCAGGTTTGCCCACCTGCAGTTACGTTTTCAGTAAAACCCAGCAGGCTTCGTTCATTAGCATCTCAGGCTTCTATTAAAGTGCTGCTCGTATTTGAGTACATCCCTACCATCCTGTTTTACAGACGTTAGGTCCTCAGAAACCTGGGAGACACTTAGGAGAAAGACATCACACCCTCGGACATGGAACAAGCCGGCTCAGAGAGTGGCGCACGGTGTGGCCAACACCACGGCCAAGGAGTCCAGTGCTGCATGGACTCCTGCACCTGCCACACGCAGCCCACGGCCTGAGCTGCTTGCCGGGCTGTGCAGCGCTGCTGGGCAAGACCCAGGAAGGCCGCATGAGAACATTCTAGTTCTTGGTGAGCATCTCGCTCAGGACCACCCTGCAAGTGTGTGGCCAGGTTCGCACCTCCTGCCCTGGCCCCAAGCCGCTCACCATCAGTGATGCTCTGATGCCAACCAGGAGCTCAATGAATCAGTACTCACCATAGGCTGCCCAGGGTCTGAAAACTTCACTTTAATATCCTGCAGGTGCTTCAAGATTGGCTCATCATACTCCTGATCAACAAGAGAAAAAAAGAAATTTCTAGTGGGCGTTTTTCCAGACAACACACACATTCCCCCTACGACTTGCTGTTGCACACACTCCCAGATGCTGGCTAAGCAGTCCTGCTGGCATTCTGGCCTCGTCAAGTTAAGAACTCCCAGGAAGCCACCCACATCTGTACACTGACAAGCGGTCCTAGGGGCCGGCAACAAGGTGACACTTCTCTCTGGCCCAGAGCGCTGAGAAACATCAAGGCCAGGCAGAGAGGGCAAGAGCCCGACTGTTTTCCCAAGACTGCCCACTGCCACGGCATACAGGGACCGACCAGGCCTGCTGGTCCTCACATCTCTGAAGAGAGAACCAGAAGAAACACCTCGGTCAGTTATGGGCCTTCTTGGCCAATTTCCTGGTCTCCTGCCCTCACATCTTCCCGCTTGTCCATTCACAGTAAGATGGGGAAGGGTCTTGAGTCTGTTCATAGGCTCTCTGGGGTGAGGCGGCAGACCTCAGGTAAGACGACGACAAGTCGTGGCTCAGCCGCAGAGGTGCAGGCCTTCCCAGCAGCACCGCGGTAGAAGGTAGCAATGGAGGCTTCCAACAGTGAGACCCCCGCCCAGGAGATCAAGAACACTCCTATGAGCTGTTGGTCACACAAAGTGCCTTTCCAACCACCATGAACAACCGCTAAACTCTGAGTTAAGTGGTTCATAAATAAATATTAAGACTAAGATCTCTCTGTAGGGTGGGAATTTGCTTACCTGGACTAATTCACTTAGCATATCTACATTTCTAAAGATGGTAAACCAGAACTCTGGAATTCCTCTGGGGTTTGGCTCCTCTCCTGTTGCTGCTTCTTTTTCTGCTAGGACTACTTTATTTTTCATGTCTCCCTAAAAAAAAAAAAAATAAATAAAGATGCCAAATAGAACACGTACCACAAAGCAACACATTTGCATTCAGTGACTTAACGCAAAATGCCAGTTTCAGAATCCTGCACAAACTTCTATCAAAAACTGTGTTCCCTGCATCTGCATCTCCAAGACCACTGTGTATGTAACACTTCTAGATGGTTTTTTTTTTTTTTTATTTATTAGAGAGCAAGAATGAGAGAGAGTACATGAGAGGGGGGAGGGTCAGAGGGAGAAGCAGGCTCCTCGCTGAGCCGGGAGCCTGATGCGGGACTCGATCCAGGGACTCCAGGATCATGACCTGAGCCGAAGGCAGTCGCTTAACCAACTGAGCCACCCAGGCGCCCCACACTTCTAGATGTTTTTAAGGAACAAAGCAATCAAAGCACTCCATTCAGACGTGACTCTGTGATATAATTTTAGAAGAGTGCCATCAACCTTGGGGAAGGTGCCAAGTGCCAGCTCTATGAGACATCCGTCTTGGGCCAGCCAGCCACCCAGCACCGGACGGAGACTCCAGTGCCCAGGCAACAAGAACGACGGCAGCGTGTACGTCCAACTGTAAGGAGGGGGCTATAAACATCGGACAGAAACTGCACGCAGACATCAGGGAGGTGACCCGACAGCGCAGGCCACACGCAGAGGCGTCCTTCCTGCACTGCAGCCCACGGAGGTCGAGCACGAGATGGGCCCAGTGCAAGTGCAAACACTTCATCACGGGGGATTCTTATGGAAATGATCAGAAGGGGCTTTTTAAATTAACAGAGGCAGACTGTTCATGAGAAATAAGGAAGTGATTCACAACTAGATCCATCCATAACCACAGCCTCAGCTAGGCCAGGTTCCACAATATGTTTGAAAGATCAAAAACATATGGTTACTACAACGAACATACACTTCAAAAATTCCCTAAAAAGGAATCCTGATGGATAAAAAAGGTAAAAGCTACTTGTCTTCCAAACAAACTTCAAGTGGACAAAGTTGCCCTGCAACATGTCGGAACTTTCGTGGCACTGGAATGGGACCTGTTGAAGGCTGTGAGCAGGTGATGAGAAGCTCCCAATCCAAAGTGGCTGGGTGCATCGTGGCGATTTCGTCGCCACTGCTGGTCCTGGAGGAGGGTGGCCCGGACACCCACCACGCCCTCCCCACAAGCCTGACCTCGCAGCAACTACCAACACAGGTATCCCCTCCCCCGTGGGACTTCGCTTTTGTCTCGATACAAGACTTCTCCGGATGTTTTTGTTTCTGTTCATCTGATCCCACACCTCACTATCCTACGGCATGGAGCTGTTTAGACCACTGAGCAGGGAGAGCGTGTCTGGGTCACGGAATTAACGGATACTGGACCTGCCCGCCGCTCAGTAGTCTGATCACAAAGAAATCGAAACGGCCAACCCAAGGGAGAAAAAACAGCACCTACTGGTAAGGAGCTCTTTCCTTTGTGACGTTGTAAGAGACTTCTTACTTCTAACAGCACTGAAACAGCACAAGTTGCCATTGTTTGAACACGATACTCACAGCCAATTTATCCTCCTCCTCGTTGTCACTGTGCCACTCCGACTCCGCGTCCGTCGGCTCCACGTCCCCCGTGATGAACTCCCTTCTCTGAGTAAGAACAAGACCTTCTTAGAGTTAGGCTAAGTTAGTCAGAAGCTCAAGAGTTGAGTTTGTAAATAATGTCTGTGAAAACCAATGCTTTTCTAACTTAAGATTCTACATTTTAGGGCTTGAAGGAGACCCGTTCAAGGACCCATCACTCCGTAAACGTGGGAGTCTTACGTGAAGAAAGCTCTGAAACCATGCAGGCAACACGGAGGGAGCTGCCCACCTTGTCGAAGAGGGGCTGGTACAGTGCGGCGTACTTCCTCTCCAGGTCGTGGACCTCCTCGTAGAACTTGGCTTCTATGTGGGCGCACCTCACCTGCAGCTGCTTCAGTGCATTGATCCTTCTCTTCACGGCTTTCGGCAAACTGAAATAGGGAAGAAAAGGAGAACATCCGTATGCCTGCAAAGTAAGGCAGCGTGCTTTTCAATCCTCTTAAAATAAATTCAGGCTACCATAGAATTCACATCCTCACTACAGAAATGAGCTCCTAAACATCATTAGAAGGATGAACATCCCAACAGAAGGGGTGGGGGAGACGCTGACGGATAATCCACAAAAGAAAAAATACAAATAATCAAACATGGAAAGAAGGTTCAATCCCACAAAATATCTGAAAGAATGTTAATTTAAAAGAACTGCTGTCTGTTCCTTACCAAACTGGCAATTAAAAAGAACCTCCTGGGTTTGATGAGCCCGAGGGCACAGAAGTCCTCTAACCGACTCATCCACCTTAAAGGCAAAGCAGAACCTGAATGTTCCTTGGGTCCAGTAACTCTACTTCTAAGAACTTATGCTAAGGAAATAACCAAATACTTATGTGCCGATATGTCCACTGACGCATTATTTGTGAAAGTGGAAAACTGGAAATAATGACAAGTTGTACAGGATTAAAACACAGCCTGTCCGAAATCATGTTTTAAAAGAATATTCCGCGCCAAGTGAAAGGTTCATGGTGATGCACTAAGGGAAAAATCAGACACAATACAGACAAGTGGGGTCTGTTCCCTTCCAGGGTCAGGTGACTTTGAGCTTCTTTGCCTTTTGATACTTCTCTATATTCTTCTATTTTTCTAAGGATCTTATTTATTTTATAGAGAGAGCGAGCGAGTGAGGGAGGAGCAGAGGGAGAAGGACAAGCAGACTCCGTGCTGAGCACAGAGCCTGACACGGGGCTCAATCCCACAACCCTAAGATCATGACCTGAGCTGAAATCAAGAGTTGGACGATCAACCCAGGCACCCCAGTACTTTTCTATATTCTAAAAATATTTTAGTTTTTAAGCATTACTTTTATAAATCAGAAAAAAAAACACCCTTTTTAACCCATCAAAATTGTATGTTTAACCTGAAGCCCTTGGTCACCATCTGGAACAAAGAGCACATTTCTGGGCCTCATCACAGACCATACAGCCCTCCCGGGCAGCGTCCACCTGGGCTGAGCCCTCGAGGTGGGGCTAGCAGTAGCCTGGGCACTCTACCCTTCCTCCAACAACTCATGGAGTCCTAGCTGCTCCTATGCACAGCACTGTTTAGAAAGTACTGGAAGAGCCTTAAATAGAGCCTTAAATCACAAAGGACCCCTGCCACCCTACCCATAGCCACCTCATGTAAAGGTCCTCTACCAAGACTCGTAACTACAGTCCCGTCTCTAGGACTACTGCCGGCAGGAGAACAAGGAGGAAGCACAGTGAGGACCTAATAAAATGGCAGACATACAGAAACACCTGTATTTCTTTTCTGCATTAATCACACAATTACAACTGTCTTTTATCTTTCTGTATCTTCCTAACAGAGTAAAAAGAACAAATGATTTTAAGCAAACTGGACCCTGATATCCTACATCCAGCTGTCCTCCTCCAATCAGTTACAGTAACTCCACACTGTCCTGCCAGCAGGCACTTACCATGTAGTACATCCAACATGGAACTGATTCTATTCCATGAAGCCTTGTTCCTAGCCCCAGCATTCCCTCTCCATGAAACCCACCCCACTCACTCAGAGTCTAGACAGAAAACTAGAGACCATTATCATCTTCCACTCTCCTACTCCCAGGCAGAATCACCAGTCCACCTGCGGAGAGCCAGCAGGGAGCCAGCACCCCACCCTGAGCCTGGCCCGACGGCCCCCCGGCTAAGTAACCCCCCGCCCCCCCGCCGCACCTCCCACCACAGGCCTGCACCTCTACCACCTGCTGAGCCTAGGCGCTACTCTTTGGAATCCAGTGCCTGGTTCTCAGCACCCAAAGTCTGCTCAATGGGAAAGACACTTATTTCTAGTCTAAGGAACCAGGAAATCAGTCTTTTTCCCTTTGTTTCTTAAAGTTGTACCGAGTCCCATGCACAGCATACTTACGTCTCAATGTAACTTGAAGGAGTGTGGGAGACATTGTCAAGCCGTTCCTGTAAAGCTGCCAAAACTTGAGGATTCTGCATCACCTGATCAGTGAGCTTTTCTATCAAGAGGTAAAAACAAGGTCAAAACATTTCAAATATCCCTGACACAGAACAGCCAAGGGTAGAAAACCATCAGCACGTTATCTACCCAGCTATGTTAATTCACTTTAATTTCTAAATGTAGCAAGTGGCTTCTTAAGAACATGTTTTAAAAATACTTGAAATTTAGGGCGCCTGGGTGGCTCAGTCGTTAAGCGTCTGCCTTCGGCTAAGGTCGTGATCCCAGGGTCCTGGGATCGAGCCCCACGTCGGGCTCCCTGCTCAGCGGGAAGCCTGCTTCTCCCTCTCCCACTCCCCCTGCTTGTGTTCCTGCTCTCGCTATCTGTCAAATAAATAAATAAAATCTTAAAAAAAACCCAAAAAACTTGAAATTTATTTCATTTTTTTAGATGGGGGGGTGGGCAGAGGGAGAGGAAGAGAGAATCTCAAGCAGACTCCCCGCCCAGCACAGAGCCTGACACGGGGCTCGATCAAAGGACCCTGAGATCAAGACCTGAGCCAAAATCAAGAGTCGGACACTTAACCGACTAAGCCACCCAAGCACCCCTTCAAATGTACGTTCATGGCATTTGACCCGCTGCTACCCAGCTGGGCAGGCGGTCAGAAATCCACTGAAGGGCACCCAGCAAGTTCCGGTTCTTGCTTCAGCTGTTTAAGCCTCAAACCTCCCAAAGATGTCATCACCTCCCAGTTCAGGGGCCTATCTCCTGCCACCTCACTTTCTCTCCCCAAGACCTAAGGGGGCCCAGAAGGCAAGAACAGGGACAAGGCGACTGTCCCTCACTTGCGGCCTGGCTCACGTCCCAGGAAGCCCAAGCACTGGCTCCTGGTGCACCAGACATGCGAGCGTTCTGGCCTCCACCTTCACCTACCCTGCCCTTCTGCCCAATCCCCCCCTCCCCACCACACTCCCGCACTTCCCCCTCCCAAAGCTCCAAAGCTCACTGGCCTCCTCCCCCCACACTGCCCTGGTGGCTCACACACATCTGCACTGTTTCCCAATGAACGAACAAGACGCTGAGGGGGAAGGAAGGTCTTTCACTCAACTATAACCAGGGAGTGGCCCAACAGGACACCTGCCCACGGCACAGACTCCATGTTTGCTGAAGTGACGCCGGCTCGCTCCCACTGGCCAGGAACCCTAATTTGGCACCCTCACCTGACTCCAAAGGTACCTGGAGCTCTGCCCACCTTTTTGTACGAAAGTCAGAAGAGCAAGCAAAGGATATCAAGTAGGCAACTCAATTTTAACATTTTAACTATAAACAACTGCTAACACTATTTCATCTTTACACTCATGCATACGTACAACTGTGTATGTACACAATACGTATAAATACTACACCACACACAGACACACACCTCCTCTAGCTCTGGCCACCGAAAGGCCTAGAAACAGTGACACCTAGCATCTATATTCTGGTTTTTAAATATCTCCCCCTACTAAAAGGAACAGGGCCCCTTGCAGAGATGGTAGACTCCAGGTCCAGAGCAAGAAAAGTTCAAGAAAAAATGTAGCTTAGCATCACAAAGCTACAAAGTGCTCAAAGCTCATGGGGACATAGCAAAAGGTCACAGAAGCCAGCGTGAAGAGACCGGCACTGGCCACGTGGGACAATTTGCACACCAAAGAGTACTGATGGTGCCTGACAAAACACTGAAGGAGTAACAATCTAGGAAAGTGCACGAACCCTGCAGTGGGGGCTGGGAGAGCAGGGAGGGAAAGGCCATCTCTGACAGATGTAATATGCAGAAGACTGCCAGACTTAGAAAAATGCCCTTGTGCAAACACCGATGTCATACCTGATTCTGCAAGGATCGTTATCACGACCCACGGAGAACAGGGTGTCCCCAGGATGACCAACACGTCACTTACTGAAGAGACCCTCACAATGGGGAAGGCTGCCAGACATGACCTTCACCAAGTCCTCAATCTCAGAATCCCCGGCCATGGCCCCAGCGTGCTCCCCCTGCAGCAGGTCACCCATGTGGCAGTCTGAATCTAATGGGAAGGAAACAACCTGACCAATCCAGAGCGTGGCCTGCTTGTTCTACAAGACAGCCAGGGAGCAGCCTGCCGATATGTCATTGCAGAGAATAAAAAGGTGGGAGGACGGCTCTAGAAGAAAGGAGACAGAACTAGATTCGGGACATCACCCTGGCTGGCTCTGGACCTGGATGTGGGCTACGGCTAAAAGGAGCAGCCGAGAACAGCAAGGAAATAGCAACATGACTACATACTAGCTAAGTGTCATGTCAACGCCGCATTTCTTGGTTGTGGTCACGGCACTGGGGTTAGGAGCAGTCATTCTAGTTTTTAGGAAATTTACACGAAACTGTTTTAGGAGAAGAGAGTCAGGATACCCACAACTTGCTTTCAAACAGTTTAAGGGGAAAAAAGTATAGATATACAAATTTAAAAATGGAGGAAAAAATAACACATCTATGAATTGATGGACAAAATGATATGGAGTCTGGGGTTTGCTCCATAATGATCAGGGAAGAAGGACACAGACTAAGAAGACCAGTCACTGGCTGAGCCATGGAGTACTGAGTGGCAGCGGGCACAAGGAGGCGCATTGTGCTAGTCATCCTACTTCTGGAAAGCCTATCATAAAAGTCTAAAGACCAAGTACCAATTTCCACTTGAATGACTCTAACCTCCCCAAACCTTTGAAGCACAGTAATCCTTCACTTGTATGACTTGTATTATCGCAAGAAATGGCTCAAGAGTGGAAGATGCTATGCTCTGCTCTGCATGCGAACTCTCCCATGGGTGGTGAACTGACCTGTGTTACTTGCATTTTTAGCAGCCTCCAAGGCATCTGAAGGAACACCATCTGAAAAACTAAGACAGTATGTTAAATAAGTATTACTACCAAGAAGTTCTAAAGACAAAGAGCACAAGGGCATTTTTCTTGTGTAACATATTAAGAGGCAGCTCTACAACGACTTTATATTTGGACAGAACTATGGACACACGGGTGTATCTACGAGATATGTTCCTGTTATTTAAAAAAAAAAACAAAGACAAAAAAACACCACCTACCACTTAACACACCCCCACCCCTTGCCATGTCCCATAGTTCTAATTTCCAACCCTGGCCAAATCTTCTTAGTTTTCATTTCTACAGTTTCTTCCCCCCAAAAAACCTGCTCCCCACCCTCAAACTGAACCCACTAGCCAGCCAACTTGCATGCTACACTTTGGCCGGCTGCTAAAGGGATCAAGGAAGTGCCACCTTACCAAGTATTTAGGACACAAGGCCCACTGTGGCTCTGTAAGCTCACCACACAGTCTCTACAAACAATTAAACTTCACAAAAACAGGTATATCAGTTTTCAAAGATGCCTGGACATGGCTTCCCTCACCAAAATTAAACCACGTCAAACACTACACAAGACCAAACATAACCTTCAGGACGAGCCACAAAACAAAATCTTTCACTTGACCATCGGAAGCTACACAAGGTGAGGATGGTGTCAAGTCAATCACAGGTCAATCACTTAATACCTGGGAGGTATTAAGACCTGGAGAGCAACATGATCACTTCCCACGAGAGGTTTTTCAGTATCGATATTTGAGACACTTGCCATGTGTGAAGCCATCTCCTCCTGGGCTCAAACACAGCAGCGGAGGGAGGAGCTTGCCAACCAGAGCTGCTAATGAACAGTCACTGACCAGTGGCCTGGCTCATGCTAATCAACTAAAACTTAAATCCCAATGAACAAAGTCCTTTTTGGCTTACCTGTTATCTGCCATCTGAATGTTTTGATCTCCTACAAATTAAGAGAGTTGTAACAATTAACATCGCTAAATATTCACAAAGAACATTCTAGGGTGCTTGTAGCAGTCAGTGGCTGTCTATGGGGGATGAGGGTCTACTAGGAGGAGCAAGAGGGAACTTTCTGGGGTGATGGAAATGTTTTAGATCTTGAACGCGCTGTTGGTTTCTTGGATACATATATTTGTCAGATTCATCAAATCTTACTTAGGATCTATGCATGTTAGTGCACGCACATTTTACTCACTAAAAAAAAAAAAACAACAAACCCCAAAAACTCTTTTTGGTGCTAAAATGACCAGAGTTGAGAGTAAGATTAATCATTCTAATTTGCTTTCTCTCTCTAATAAGCTTCAGCAATAGGGACATAAGTCTGTGCTACTAAGCCAATTATTTTAGAACTATTCAAAGCATTTACTATTGCTTGTATTGTCTTCACACTCTAAGTCACAGAAACATTTTTACTTTCTTATTTTTGTATTTATTTATTTATTTAAAGATTTACTTACTTGACAGAGAGAGACTGAGAGAGCACAAGCAGGAGGAGTGTCAGGCAGAGGGAGAAGTAGGCTCCCTGCTGAGCAAGGAGCCCGACGTGGGACTCAATCCCAGTACCCTGAAATCATGACATGAGCCAAAGGCAGATGCCCTACCAACTGAACCACCCAGACGCCCCTAGTATTTTCTTTTAAGTAGGCTCCACACTCAGCGTGGAGCTCAAGGCAGGGCTTGAACTCATGACCCCAAGATCAAGACCTAAGCTGAGACCAAGAGTCAGACACTTAACCAAGTGAACCACCCAGGAGCCCCAGGAGGATTTTTAAACGTTACTGGTTTTGTATGTTCTATTACCAACACACTGAAGATGGTAATGCTTGTGCAAAAACATGATGTGAACACTCAGTACAACCCTGCTTTTACAAGACATGACAAAGAATTATCTCCAAATTAGGTGATTTTCTACCTATAAACATTAAAGCTAGGTTCTAGGACATTTACTCCTTAAAAAGAACTTGATATTAGTGAAATTTCAAAACCGTGACTAAATGCATAGCTGAACAGAGGTAGTGATGCTCCTTCATCTCAGACGTAGTAAACACACATCACAGCCTCTTCTCGAGAGCTATCCCAGGCCGACAACTTGTCAATGTTTTATTCTTTATTCTGAGCAAAGCTCAAACCCCTCCATCACAATGCTTCAGGGTGAAACAAAACAACAAAAACCTCTATATTTAAGAAAAATAGCTCCAACTGGAATTTATAATCTGCAATTGTTTTGTATTTAACTCAACTGCGCTTTTCTTTGGTGACTCTGTTCTTGCAGATGAAGCCCAGAAGGAGAGAAACAAGGTAACGAACGCTCTAGTGGCTGTGGCCACCCTCCACCTCACACGCCCGGTCAGTGAGGGCTCTAGAAAATCATCAATGGTCCCCACCACCTGCTGCTGAGTCCCAAGTCCCTCCACAGAGAAACCTGAACCCCGAGCCTTTCTAGCCGTCTACCCCAACACTGACTCCCAGCTCCCGCTCCGCTGCGGGCGGCCGGAGCCGCAGTATTCCCACGCTTCCCTTCTGCTCTCCCCCACACTGATGGGACTTACAAGGCAGGGAAGACTTCACAATAACATCTGATGGCAACAGCCTAAGAGCTGACGTCCGTACCTCCCAGTCACCAGCTGTGAAGTCCTGACGGCTTTCCCGACAGCACACCTTTGCTGACGTCCACGCGAACATCTTTGTTTGTGTGGTGGCCCAGCCCCCAGTTCCTTACTCACACAGCAAGAGGAGGATCGCCACAGCGGGGTTTCCGGATTACAGAGTACGGATGGATACCCGCTGCGCCGTGACGCCAACTCTGATGTGCCTGCGCCGGTGACAGACACGTCAGATAGCGCCTTGCGTCGGCCACACGCACGCCAGCTGCTGGCGACAGCCTGCTCTTCAGAAGCCGCCGTCACGGCCAGTTCAGTGGACAGGCTCCGGTTTCCCTCCTCATCGATAACACCCAATCAAGCCACACACCTGAGTCTAACACCTTCTTGACTAGCAAGGGCTCCGTGTGACAGGCACTCTCCCACATCTTCCACCCAACACCAACTCTGCCAGGGAGGCAACGTCCCCAGCGTATGGGAGAGGACACGGAGGCTGGTCAAGGCAAAACGCCTGACCCAAGGTCATCTGCCTATGATGTGGACTTGGGTTTCTGTCAACCTACGAGAAAGGAGACAGACCGAGGCAAGCTTGATGACCGGAAACAGAGCTGACTTGGGAAGAGCACAAGAAGTGTAATTCAGGAGCTACAGGTGAGTCCGCTGAAGGTTCAGGGTGGGGTGCTTTTCTGGGCAGAGTATGAAAGGGGAAAATCCAGGTAGGAGCCACGCGGCAAGTTCAACGGCTCAAAGGTGGGAAGAGATTCTCGGTGGACACTCACTGGCTGGAGACAGCTTCCATCTTCTGTCAATCAAGCGTTCATGGGAAATCGGCCTGACAGTCCTCAAGTCCGCTATTTTGACGGCGCATGCGTGAGATTCTCCACTTTACATAGTCTTCAGTTCCATTTTAGATTCAAATCCTCTCAGATCTCCCCCTCTGATCCACATCTTTCACAGAAGGCCACGTTGATCAACCAATCTGTCTGGCTGTCTGGTTTAGTCAGAGATGTCTGTAGCTGTGAGTGGATGGTGCCCCTGAGAACTAACTGCAGGGACATCCTGAGATGTCTGTCCCTTACAGGAGGGAAATGGCATGAGGATATCAGGCCCCATTTGAACAACCAACAGTCAAGAAATGGGGAATCTCAGTCATGTGTCTCCCAGCTGAGCTTCAGGAGAAGTCTTGGTGCGGAAAAGAACTCTAGTTTGTACATATGTCTGGGAGGATCATACCCAGGGCCAAAAGTCCAATTAACGGCTACTGGCTGGAAAACCTCCTCGACCAGTTTCCCCAGCTGCCCATATTTAATAAGCTGAAAATGTCCCAGGTCCTGGGGGGCCTGGCTTATTTCAGCTCACAGTTTGATATTACCTCTTGTTATTTTTCATTCTTGCATTATTTCCCCCAATTTGTTAACATAAAAACAGCATTCTTCCCCTCCCTGCTCTGTAGGGCGAAGGCGCAGGACTGCGGTTTTGAAGACTACTACTGCGACTGTCTAGCTGGGCTTGTTGATATTCAAAAGCTCTAACAGGAGCAGTAAAGATCGGACCACGACCACAGATTCCAAGTTGCCTTTACAGGTTCTGCAACCCAACCCAAGAAGAGAACAAGGCTCAGGCAAATCCCTATCTACTATGGGGTATTCGCGACATCCACCCAAAGTGCTATCCATCCCTGTTACCATGTGCTATTTTAGGACAGTAGGAGAAAACCCCAGATTGGACACAGGGGCAGTAGGTGGAAGGGTTTTCCTGGTTTCAGCAGCAGGAATGAGGGCAACAACTTCACAGCATCCTTTCCAAGGGGAATGTGGAGTGTATGTTTCTGCCACATAGAAAGAAATAACTAGTGTTTTCTAAAGACAGGACGTTAGGTAGACCCCTTTGCCCAGATTTTTTTCCCCTGGAATGAAAAAGAGGACCTCAGGTTCAAAAACAGTCATTTGCCCTGAAACAAGTAATACATTATATGTTAATAAAAAACAAACAAACAAACAAACAGTTATTTACACACAATACGCAGTAACTGGTGCTTTTAGCATCATGGAAGTGGTTATAGGAATGTCTTAAATTTCAATATATTTGGATTAACAAATGAGTCTGGTGGCTGTGGGTGAGGTTCCAATGGAGATCTGGGGATCGTCCAAGGAGAAGGTATGTTGAATTAAGTTTCCAGTATTCGCTAGATTTCTGAGCAATTCCCCAGAGGCACCACTGAAAGGAAGCACGTCGCTCCCTCCTCCCAGTACCCTATCACGGAGATACATCAACAGAGGAGACCTCGTGGTCTCGCAGACCCAGTGGGGAGTGTACTCGTGATCATGAGTCCTGCACCACTGGGGTCACAAGTGCTTACCAGGAGGCAGCCTTGGCTTCTGCCGGTCCTGTCCCTGTCTGTGAAACACAGAGAAAGGTCTTGGGTAGATGCACAGACTTGAGTGAGGGTATTCCTTTATGGGTGAGGAGCACCCAACGGAAGGCTTTCATGTCTGGTGCCAGGGACTATGTACGGCTTCAAAGGCACCAGAGGAAAGCCCTGTTATCTCTGCTAGAAAGCTTCTGCCATCCTTCTAAGGATAATGGCCAGGCCACCAGTTGGGGCTTTAGTGTTAACTCCAGTGCAAATCCAACAATGGGTAGCGCTGGTGGAATCAAAAAGTGTCTGCAGAGTGGGAACAAAGGAGTGCATTACCGGCAAACCAAGGAGTGGCAAGGAGGCCAGCAAAGGGACAATTACAACTTTAGACAGCATGACTCGGTTGCTGAGCAACACCAAATTCCGTGAAGGGGGAGGTTCTACAGGCCTGGCCCCAGTATCTTGGGAAGACTGTCTACTTCCAATGTCATGTATTTCAGTCCTTAAAAATTTTTAGCTTGGGCGCCTGGGTGGCTCAGTTGGTTGGGCGACTGCCTTCGGCTCAGGTCATGATCCTGGAGTCCCGGGATCGAGTCCCACATCGGGCTCCCTG